TGGGGCGGTGGGGGCCCCCCGGGGGGGCACTTGTTTTCCGCCGCCAAGTTGGCGCTGGTGGGCCTTACACCATTGGGGTTCCTGGCCGGGTTCGGCCGACGCCCACTTGGGGCTCGGGGGGCTGGCCTGGCCCTTTCCCCGCCAATCGGGGGAAACACACCACACACAACACATGCACACACACACACACACATTATTAATGATCGGGTAATAATATTAAATTATTAATCATCGGGCGGCGGCGCGGCGCGGCGGCGGGCGGCGCGAGGCGGCGGCGCGGCGAGGCAGCGGGCGACGCAGGGCGGGGCGGCGGGGCGGCGGGTGGGGTCATTACTTAATTATTTATTAATAATGAATTAATAATCATCGGGCGGCGGCGCGGCGCGGCGGCGGGCGGCGCGGAGTGGGCGGCGCGACCATCCGTACTGACCGGGGCCTCTGGCCTTTGACGCGGCGCAATGGTCGCGCCGCCCTCGACTCAAGGGGCTGCCTTCCACCCGTAGCTGCTCAGGCCGGGGGAGGGGGGAGACCTCTGTTCCTCGCGGAACGGGAGCAGGCCCCTCCTTGCCCGGTCTGCGATGCAGGGCGGTGGTCGTGCCATCTTCGCTTCGTACAGACAACGACCACGCCGCAACCGTCGCCGGCGCGCGACACGTTCCCGTAGGCAGGACTGCCCTCGTCGAGAGTGTGTGCCGCGCAAGGCGGGACGCACTCAGAGACAGAGACGGGACGCGGCTCGAGAGACGACTCCCGCGAAGGCACGGCTGGCATCCGTGGCGTGGGGCTCGCCTTCGAAAAGTCGGGCATGGCTCTACCCGCATTTTTCTCGCTAACACGCGCGCACCACCGAGCCTGCGGTGGGCGCGCTGCGGCCGCACGTCTATCTCCGTCATAGTGCCACGACGTGCGGCCTAGATTTAGCACACGCGCCTCTGCTCGCATACACTCCTACAATGAATTGTCATCACCCGTGAGTGCGAGATAGGGCTAGCAGTAGGCAGCTAGCCTGTGAGGAGGGCGTCCATAGACACCTCACTAGACCCCACACACGGTCTCGTCCGTGCCTCGCCGGCCGGTGAGATTGCTAGAGGCGGAGCGGTCTGCTCTAGCCTCGCACGTTACTCCCTGTCACCTGTCTGTGTTGTTGTGCTCTTGTTTGTACCCTTGGCACCGTGTGTGCTGGGGGGGGCGACAGGGAGGACGTGGCCCTGAGTTATGTGTACGCCAACTCAGGGTGTGTGGCAGCCCGCTGGCTGTGTGTCTTGTGAGCCTGTTTGTGTCTGTGTGTCGCTCGTGCGTGCCGTCATCATCTGTCCAGCGTCCACCCATACCGCGTTGGTGTCCAGTCCGAGCCTGGCTGTTCTTCACCTTCCTACATACATAATGTGCTGTGAGAGAGAGGCTTGTATTGTAAGAATTCTTTTTCTTCTGCGGAAGCCAAATACCTATGTTGTCACCTAGTTCCGTTCTCGCGCCCGGGTGTGTTCGATTGTAAAAAATCGGCAATAGGGCGCCCAGGGGCCGCCCCTGGCCGCCCGCGCGCACACAAAAATACTCCGCCGCCCCGAACGCCCCCAGAAAACAACATACTAGCCCAACAAGCGTCACAAGTTTACGTGATTTCGGCGGAAAATTTTCTTTTTATGCTGTGAAAATTCCGCGCGAAGAGAGGGAAAAACCCGACGGGAGGGCCCAGACCTACCCTACCTTCCCCGTCATTCTGTCCGCATAAAGCAAAAAAAGAATTTAGCTGAGCAGGCGGGTAAAAGACGGCTCGCGGCAGTTGAGAGAGAGATTTTTAGAAGCCAACAAGAAATGTGTCACACAGAGTGATTTGCGCTCGGCAGCTTGTCGTCTTGTCTCTCCGAGATTTTTAGGAGGCCAATGGTCCACAATTCACAACGCTTCCAACCAATATTGTGTACCAGAGAGATAGGTGTGAGAGCTGTGGGAGCGGCCTCTTTCTTCAACTGAGCCAGTTGGTTAGAGCGCGTGTGGGTGGTTGCTACTTTCAACGATCGGCGTCGTGTTGGTCATAAAAAAGTTTATCTGGGACCTAGCGAGGTACTCCCACGCCTCTCGGGGTTTTTGTCTGGCCGAGTCAACCCGAGATGCTGGGGCGAGCCTCGGCGAGACTGCGTCAGCTGTTCCCACAGCAGGCTGGAAGTACCTCGCCAGGTTTCGGCGCCACATGGCGCCGGCCAAACCGTCGTG